AAATTAATGCATCAGTCATAATAATAATCCACTAATGTTATAATCGAATAACTCCAACATTTACCATTCTGTATTACTTTTTACTTGTTGTAATAGAGTATTTTAACACTGTTGTGTGGCTAAATTATTTACGTATATAACTTTACAAAGTGCATAAGTAATAATGAACATATGGAAATGTGTGAGAGGATTATGTAAAGACAAGATTAAAAGTATAAAATGCCTAAATATAATTAATAATATAGGTCATTCCAAACAACAAGGAGGGTTTTCTAATAATTAGGTTTCGTGTCAAGCAGAGGGGGAAAAAAAACAAAACACTTTATTTTGGAATCAGCTCACTTCCGATCATGCAATATTTAAAACTGGTGAACTTTATGCAAACTATGGAGAGGCGCGGCAGTCTGACGTCACGTCCCTAGAAAAGTTCTTGGTTACTTTATCCTGAGGCTCCCGTAGGCACTGGGTCCCCACTGTGAGGTCTGGGGCCCAGCTAGGGGCCCTAGAGAGGCGACTAGGGGTCAACAGTAAAATTAAGATTAGTTTGATTTATCTTGAACTCATCTGAGGATATTCTTACATTTTTTTAGGGGGGGGGAGTAATTACCACAAACCAACTGACACTCTTGGGATTCTTGGTGTATAGTTTTAAATATAGCAATGTATGACAATCAGAGGTTATTTATGCCACAGGTCATACAAAAGTCAAATATAGTAACATCATGTTAGCAGTGTTATAAGATTGCCTGTTTCCCCGTCAATGATAATAACACTAAGTGAACCCAAATTTGATGAGTAAAAGAGGAGAAATAAAAAGCTAAAACCATCTTGTGTTTCTCACAATGAACCCCTTCCACTGCGAATACGGTTTTCATGCAGAAGCCATAAACTAATTTTGTAATTTGAACAGAGATATATTTAATGCAGAGTGGTGTAATGCACACTTTCAGATGTACAACACAGGTACAGAGCACTGTGTATACAGTTGGAGAGGGTGCGAGAACTGCACACAAATTAGAAAAAGTATTTCCCTTAATTGAAACTTAAACACTTTAAAAATGCTGTAAATTACCACATTTCTATAAACGTTTAAAGGACCAGTTCACACAAATCACAAAAACATATATTCCCACTTACCCTCACATTAAAATGAACATTATTCATTGTCAAGGCAGCACCAGCATAGATATTTTATTGAAAGGGAGACAAAAACTAAAAGGAAACAATGAACTTCTCATACAGAAAGCTAAAAACAGAAAAGCTATGTGTCCTAAGCTGCACAGTTTATAACCACAATAAAGAAAGCAAGCAGCCAGACAAAACCAGAAACTAGCCTTACGTCAACACAGTTCCTTATTTGACAGCAAGACACACCTCAGGGTTGAATCAGTCAATTTGGTTCTCAAGGATGTGAGTGTCTTACAGCCCAAGAATGACTAATACAACTTGACATTTAGGGGGAATTTGGTTACAGACCAACACGTTTATGGCTTACACACCTTGATAAGCTGCTGTTCTGCATGTAGTAACCAGCGCCAGGGCCAGGAGGAAACAACAAGGTGGTGTCGAAGGAGTGTCAAACCTTCAAGGTCAAGGAACGGCGCCACGAGACTAACTGCCATGGTAACAGCAAGAACATAAAGGTCATTTGCCTTTTTGAAGGATTGACCTCTGATTAATCTAAATACAGATTAGATTCATCAAAGGCTTTAAGGTCCCTTACCACAGTAAAGTGACAAGACATTTTAAAAAATCCAAGTAGGTTAAAGGGAGATTTTATAAAGTAAAGGAAGCAAATAAAGACGCCTGTTACACAATCTAGAAGAGAGTTTTCCTTCTGTTTGTTATTTCACATTAAGGACCAAATGGGTTTTTTTTCTTTTATATCACTGCAGGGCTGAACAGCTTGATTTAATTACAATTTGGTTACAGAAATGTTTTCTCTGGAGCCCTTTCAACACCTTTCTTCCATCCATCGACAGAACAATCTAAAGTGTAAATAAAGTAATTATCATGATAATCATGATCATGGCCTTTAGCTGTGATTGATGGATGAGCGTACTCAACTCAACTGAAACCACCCAAATCCTTACTTAGGCAATACATTCTTATTAAATTGGTCTAAAAGCTAAAGCTGCAAGTATCATGACGAAAGGAAGAAATATATTTTAAAATACCACAACGTATACCGCAAAAGAAGAAATAAAACAAATACTGCAATCATTTTCCAATACTATTCAACCCAACTTCAGTGTATCAAAAAAAAAAAGTATTTAAGATTTTAAATAAGCAGCAGATACGACATTAGTGGTCAAATTCAACATGTGATTTATGTTCGATCAAAAATAAAGTAATAAAGTGCAATAGGGTTCAGCACTGAATGCAATCAACCTCAAAGAAACCCCCCTGCATATACACACTGATAATGCACTTATAAAAAACATTATTAAATTCTATTTTAAGGGTTTATACACATTTAGTACTTTTAATTCTGTCTATCAACTGCCTATCAATTAATTATATCTTTATATCCTTTTGCTATATCTCTAGTCTCTATCGCCTTATTCCATATCACTTCATACACACTCACAGAGCTCCTTCGTTTTAGCACCTGTGTGGTGGGTTAAAGTTAAAGTGTCAGGACTCAGTAATCATGCATAGTTCAATCAATGTAATCCTCCTTTTTCATGTTGGATTTCAATTGATGTATGTAATTTACAGCTTTCTTTTAATCTGGGTAGATGCCGTTTTCCCACCTGCAGCGTTGACTGCAGCCATCTGAGGAGAAGGATCTTGAATTTCCTCTCCACTTTTGTAGGTTTTTGGGGGGGGGATGTTTTTCCTTATCTTCATAGGGAGCTTGGACCGGGGTGGGAACTGCCGTGGCTGCTGCTGTTGACACTGTATGTGATATTGGGATCGACCTTCAGCCCCACCAGCATAATTTCTACTTTTTGAGTTACTCATTCATACAAACAGCCACAAACTCTCCTTTAAACCTTTAAACGCTCCAAATATGACCACATTATTGATTTTCTTCCCCTCCAGCAGTAGAGTTGTCGGCCCTGTGCCCTCAGTGAGTGAGATGTGGAGACTGGGAGCAAGTCCTCCATCGAATCGTTGGGCTAAAAAAAAGTCTGGGTGATTCTTTTGTGTTCCCATTGCTGCACCCTGTAATATTGTACAGGAAGTCATATAGAGTCAGCAAATATCACCTCACTTCCAGGTCGCTGCAGCGGGTCGAACGCCTGCACTCCCCTTTGTGCCCTTTGACCCCAGGGACTGACCCGAGCGGCTCCGCAGGTCACGCTCGGCATTCTCGTTCTGCGCCTGCTCCTCGTCGTACCTGGTGACACACAAAAGAGGGAATCAGAGACGGAGAAATCATGTGGTGAAGACACATGTTAGGCAGTTTCGCTGTTTGCCTTTACATGGACCCCTCCCCCCTTGCTAAGCACTAATCCCCCACCCCCTCCAGTTAGCCTGACTGTTGTTTGGGGCTGTTTGAATGGTCCCTTCGATAGCTCAGTTGGTA